AGACCCAAACTGATGGTTTGATAACGTTAATACCCGAAAAGAGCATGGAAGCTACGTGCGCCCTGTGCTTTTAAAACCTGATAAATACAACGGACGAATGGGTATTCATCCTGCTGTAGTTAAAACAATCCAATTAATTGATTACGCTTAATGTGGCCTACGCTTCAAAAAGCGGGGGCTTCCACCACCGGGAGCTGAACAGACCTCGTGTGTCGCAGAACAACGTGGTTCTGGATGTTTACGCCACGTTGTGTTTCTGCAACGCTCCGTCGACAGCTCAGCAGAGCATCGTTTTGGGGTCGGGAGAAATTTTCTCCATGCGGCAACAGAATTTGACAGCAGTAGGAAACAAATAAAATGGTAATGTGGTGGAAATGTTTGTCATTTTTTTTTGTTGTTCTCTAAATTCTTTTATATTATGTATTCAAAGGTTCCTCATGGTTTCCTTCTGTGTTTATTCTCTTTCTCCTCCAGTGATGCGGCCCACAGATGCTTCCTTTTACAGCTTCATTAAAATAATATACCAGAGAAATGTGTTTGTCTTCTGCCCTGGTCTGTTATTTTCTTCTTCTGCTCTTTTTTTATTCAGTATGCTGGAAGCTACAAATGACTTCAGCAACCTGCCCGAGCCGCCCCTGCTCTTCATCAAAAATCAAAAACTTCTCGGGAGGAATTTTTTTTCCATCCGTTTGTCATCAGCAGGTCTGAAAACGTTTGTGTTGTTGGGAAAGAAATGCTGACTGGACCTCATGCTCGACATCCTCCCCAAGACCACAACCTTACATTCAGTCAGAAGACGAAGTTTCACTGATTCATTGCCTTGCTTAAGCACATCTTAGTGAAAGTTCATAAAGGACAAAAGGGTTTCTTTGCTCAATATTTCCGCCATGCCTTTTTGGAGGCGTCTTGCATGTTGAAGGAAGATCTTTGTTGTTGTATATTAAAGCTTCTCCAACCACGGCAGACACTCTTTTCATGGGGGGGCGATCACGGCAAACGCGTTTGCAGATTCCAACATAAGCGGAGCCCTGGGAGGGTCCTTGAGGGACCTTCATGAAGGTTTCAGTGCTGAGGGAAAGCGATATTGCCAACTTTATTAATTGCTTTAATATTTCGGGCTGTTTTGTTCTCCTCCTCACATGTTTTTTACTCCAGACTGCGGAAAATACAGAATTCAAACTACTGCTGCCAGTTATTTCCTATGTATTTGAATGGTGTGTGTTTATGCAGAGAACAGCCATGGATTATTCTAAAAATGTAACATGAGAAATTTTGGACATTTTTCGGGGTATTGGTAAAGGCAAATAGCCTGCAGCTTTGTGTACCAGCTGCTTTAATGGAACAACAAATGTATGAACTGCATCACCCATTAAAGTAAATCTATTATCAGCAATTAAGTAAGACCTGCAGCAAAAAAATGTGGCAGGGGTGAAATCGATATTTCCTTAATTTTGTTTTTACTAATCTTATTAACGATGCAACGTCGCGGTACGATGTGTGAAACATGCAGAATATGCAGTGCGAAATGTCGATTAGATGGATGTTGCTCGCTCCGCTCTCACCACGGAAACTAACCCGTTCCTACGGAGCCACTCAGTCACTGTAATTCGGCGGTTCGGCCTCTGGGGCAGATCTGCCTTTCGGGGGTTGAACAGCGTCAGTTAAAGGACCAGGTTTGATAAATCAGGGATACTTTACTCTGCTGCTGGCTATTTCTAATGTATGCTGTGTGCAGTTCTAGATATTTGAAGGTGTTTTACCTACATGCACCCGTTGACTCATTTCCATTCCATTCACTATTTGCTCATGGTGTCCCGTGGTCCGATTCAAGAGAAGAGAAGCTTTGAGTTGATGGATACGGTAACAGGCGCATGTCGGTCACCTTGAGTTCCCACTATGGGTTTTCAGCAGCAAACTGTACGGGGGCTAAAACACTATAGCGAGAGGGCGCAGGCATCAGGACGTCACCCAGCGGCTGATGCACTACAGCACTGAAGCCTCAGCTTTGCTGATATCAGCGTCACCATCTTGGATTGCTGCCAACGGCATGTCGATTTTCTTTTTTCTGACCTGTCAATCAGAGTAGCCTTGCACTAATGACTGCAAATGGACCATAGTTTACCAAATGAACATCATGAAGTCTGGAAAGTCTGGAAACTGGAGATTGAGACCATAAACTGTTTATAAATAAACCTAGTGAGTAGTCATTTTGTTAATAACTTCCATACAACCAAACTTCTCTTTGGAACCGGAGAAGTTGGTCCCTGATGGTCAGTAGAGAGAATCCAAGTTTAAAGACTTTTGGCTTCCCTCGGAAAGCTCTGGTAATAAAGGAGGATTAACAAAGTCTTTCACGATGTTCCACAGAATGTTGGTGTTTGTATGTCCTGGTTGGGTTTTTTAAATATCCAGCAGATCGTACAAAGCTCTCTAGTGTTTTACAGCAACTCACTGACAGTTTCATTAGTTTGTCGTCTCCTCCTGCAGTTTAACATGAAAACAGAATTTCATATTCTCTTTCTAACAGTCACACTGCTCAGGACTTGGAAGGTAAACATGCAGTTTTTTACTACACCTGTTCTTAGAAAAATTTGCATTTCGCTGTAGAATAAGAGCACCTTTAAAACGTATTCATATGTTTATAGCTATGGAAGAGGTGGCTGTGGTCAAAAGCATTTTTATTAGAGCAAATATGTACTCATGGGGACAAAAATGTAGGATAATAGTTAATTAAGTGATTGTTTATTATGCATTATGCATCAGTTGCGTGCGCTTTCCTTGATTGTTATTGATTTGTTAGGAAGGTTATTAACGACAGGCCATATGGAAAAAGGTTTTTAAAGATAGTGGGAGCTAAAATGTGGTTGTGTTTGCTCATTTTGTTGAAATTAACTTCATGATTGCTTCAAAAACTAAATTAATTTTTTTTAAGAATATGCTGATAATCACACAGAAAATAAATGCATAAATAAAACAAAACAAAGGATGCTGATTAAAAAGTGAGCGAGGAATAAAACAAATAAAAAACGGATTGGTTATCACGATTGTATTACTATTAGAGCTCTACCTCACTTAACTACCTAATTATTTATCAAGAAATAAAACTTTTGTTTTTCATTAATTAACTCATTTTTAATAACTTAAACGGCTTTGGTTTGGTTTGGTAATGGAAGTTGCCCTCTCCCAGGATGCGGACGCAGCTATAAAAGAGTACAAAGCTCCTCCGGCCGGATAATCACATGGAGAAACAATCTCCTCTTTCACAGTTGCTGAGCTTTGCATCTTCAGAGTGTCTAATTTGGAAAAGGATCCTGTGTTTGTGAGAGTCTAAAAACGCATAAATAACCTGCTTCAGTAAATGCTTTGTATATACTGTAGTGAGAGGCAGCGGTTCTCCCTGTATTTCCTGGTATTCGTATTGTGGGTGCACCACGACTAAATGATAAGCAGTAAGAATCACATCATAGCGGCACAATCATTTCTCTGCATCCAGCTCAGGTGGTGCCGGTTTTGCCTAGTGGTGCACACCACTTATTTTACCAGGAACGTTTCGGAGATAAGGAATCCCTGCAGGCCGAATGCGTAATTCATGAACTCTGACTTTCAGAAACCTCTAATGCAGAAGGTTTCCTTCGCATCGCTCGCTTCCTTTCTTGGGAGCTCACAGTCTTACTGCATCGGCTTGAGAAGTGACTTTACGCGCACGAGCGGGAAGAGAAAAAGATGACCAACGCGTATGCACGGAGTTAGAGGTCCCAAAGAGCCAGCAGGCTAAGTGGCTAACGAGGGCTAACCTGCTAGCAATCAGAGAACAGACTTATCAAGAATAACTCTGGCACATACACAACATGTTTGTGTATTCCAGAAAGGCTGAGTGAATAACCTTTGCCGTCCTCGCCTGCAGCTTCAGTTGTTCTTTAGATTCACGTTCGCTAGCGCTGAAACTTGGTGGAGTAAATTAGAAAGTATTGTTTTTTTGTCCTCGTCTTGAGTTGAGATATGTTCCATCCGTCCGGCTGGAGAGGCAATGAAAATAATTTATCCCTTCTACGTCCTGACATGGACGCCGCTATCAGTCTGGATGTCCTCTCACTCCAGTTAATATCAAAGCTGTCAAAGCGAGAAGCATTGCTTGGGTCAGAAAACATCCGTCAGCTGCTACCGTACACGATTCAGCTCCAAACCAAGTGGCTGTAAGGAAGCTGTAAAGTCAGTCTTCTTCTCACATTAAATCTTTTCTTGTAGTTTGTCTTCAAAATGTCGAACAACTTTTGCAAAAAAAAGTAAGGTTCTAGATACTCTCAGTAGATTATTATTTTACAACGATTGGAGGCAGAATTCCACCTGGTGCAACATGTTGAACTGGCGACTCTTCTCGTGCACGTTGCTCTCAACTCTCCGTAATTTAACGTCTGTGTTTGAAGTGGCAACAATCTGTCCACATTTATCCAGGACGTTTTCAAACCACGGCCTTTTAGGGACACAGTGGTGGTCCTCTGTAGACTGCGCGCCGCGCAGCGTTATATGGAAGTAGCACGGCAGCTAGCTTAGCCGTGCAACTAGCTTAGTCTAGCGACTCGTCCCCCTTCAGTGTGACCCAGTTCTCCGCTGTGTGTCGCGCCTCTGGTTGTTTTACTTCCAATGTAAAAAGCTCTGTCCATCTTCGGCTAACGTTACCGCCACAGACTCTCTGGACTAACTGCAGCTAGCAGCTTGGTCGTCTTACTCTCTGGACTAACTGCAGCTAGCGGCGGTTTAGTTTTCGGGGTCAAAGCACAGCGGAAGTGAACAAACTTAACTGCGTAAAAATATTTACGTAGTATTGATTAATTCATTCTTACAACCCTGCTAGAGACTGTTTAGCTTAGTGTTTGGCAACTTTTCTCCCTTCATGAAATCCTCTTCAAAACCTGATCCCGTTCTTCTAGCTTTACTTCCTTTCATCGCTCCAGAACTTCCTGGGAATTACACTGCGTCAGCATGGTAACACAGTGTCTCACCTGTCCAAGGCGATGCAGCACAGGTGCAGTATGGACGCGGTGGTCAGCAGGACGTCCAGAGATGTCCGGACCAGGCAGAAGGTCTCGCCGTAGATCCAGTGCTGGTGGACCAGTTCGATGGCACCGAACGGCATCACCAGCACCGAGACCAGCAGGTCGGCGAACGCCAGAGACACGATGAAGTAGTTGGTCTTGATTTTCCTGGTGAAAGAGGAAGAGTGAGCGGAGGGGTTTTATAGGAACAGATCTAAATGTGCATTTGTTCATCATTCTGGCGGGACACCACCAGATGTAATGGTCACCACAGCTGTTATGACAGTTTTATGAGAAAAACAAGATCATTCAGCAAAATGTTTATGAGGGAATAAAAAGTCTGACATTTTCACTGTCAAACTAGGGACCTCGGACCAAAAACCATAACAAACCCAACTTTCATTTTTGCACTCAATCCAAATAGCGCCAATGGAAAGTTTTACGGTGCTTTTTACAGGTGGGAAGTGTGTTTTTAAGGGCAGTATGATTGAGTGCCGTGAAAATCAATTATAGAAGAAAAACCGAACAGAGGTACCTGTGATCATGCAAAGAAAAGACAAAGCGCATGTACGTGATTGGACACATTCTCCTCTATGTCACTTTAATGGTCAAAGACCTCGTTGAATATAAATGCTCTAGAAGGCTGCTGTGCAAGCTGTTACAGATCTCACAGGCGGTCTGTGAGAGCTCAAATGTGTGCAGGTGTTTTTGCATGCAGGTGCTGATCTTGTGTCTGACCTGTGGATGACCTTATATTTTTATATACAGCTGAAACAGCAGGCTGGTGCTTGGAGCTGCACCTCATCATGTTGTTGTTTTTCCATCTGTGAGATCTGATATATGTAATCAAGCATAAATCTTCTCTCGATCTCCCACTGCACTGTTTTGAATATCTCGCTCCCTCTTTCTGTGACGAATACCAGAGCTGCAGGTACAGCGAGAGGATACCCGTATTGGACAGCTGATCTGAGCTCCAGGTTTTTGTTTATTTCCACTTAAATCTACAGAATCACTGTGACCAGGAGTCTGGCATGACAAAGGTCAAACGCTGCTAAAAGTCATGTTGAGGCTTTGGGTCCACAAAGCTGTCAACTTGTTGGACAACTCGAGTCAGTTTATTATCAGACACTGCCGCTTCTCGGTCGGTGGTCCTCGGCGTCTGGACACCAACACACAGATGGACCCTCTGACGTCTGTGTGAGACGCTCCACGTGCCACTATCAGATGGTTAGAGTGATCTCCGCCACGTCCAACGCGTGAGAGAAATTACAGGAACTGGAGGAACTAGAGACACCATAGAAACTAGAGGATTTAGAGGAGCTAGAGAAACTATAAGAAACAGGGAAACCGAAGGAACCAGAGGAGCTAGGAGAATTATAGAAACTAGATCAACTATAGTAACTAAAGAAACTGGTGGTCCAATGGCAGGCGACCGGCTCTGCCTTGGCAATCGAACTATTCGGCAGCCCTGAACTGGAATAAGAGGTGAACCTGGAGCGAATCATCAGTCCATCAAGATGTCAAATTGATGTGTAGTAAATCTTTTTGGGAGAAAGACGTGAGATGGTGAGTAGTTTGTTTTGGCGAGTTCACTTGGTTGGGTTTGGTTTCCCAGATGAACCACCAACCCACCAGTGGACCAGTGACAGAGTGAGGTGGTCTGCGCTCCACGCCGCGTTCTATAAATAGCCGGTCAGGGAGGCTTTTCCATCTGCCTGTCGCTTACCCAAACAGCCCCTTACAAACAGGCCGTGCAGGAACCAGGCAGCTGTCTGCTGCATGTAAATCACGCCGGACATGCACACACACACACACACACACACACATATGTTCACATAAGAAAACACATAAAAACGAACGAGAAGACTTCTGGACGCAAGTGGAAATTTGCACATCTTTAGTTAGATAAATGAGGATTGTATACACACACACACACACACGCGCTGCGTGCTCAAACTAACACACACACTCTGTTGTTGACTGTAATTCAGGACAGTTTAGAATCCGTTAACATCGCCAGGGCGGGAGGTTAGAATGACATCTGATGTTTAGCTTAGTACTAAGAATAAATAATCTGCTTTTAAAGAGATTGTGTTACTGGAAGGTCGGTGGGTTTTACGGACACACGTTATGTCGGGTGTACAATATGTGGAGAGTAGAGGAGGAGATACGAGAACTTAAAAGAATAAAATACTGCAAAGAGGAGGAATGTTCTGAATTGTGTAAAATGGATCTTTCCCCGTAAGTAATTCTGGGATTACAGCAACATGGATTCAGAAATATTATCAAATTTCAGAAGGGAGACAGTTATTTCGTCACAGATCCACTTGTTCGGGCCGGTTGGGTGAATTCCATGGTTAAAAATACGCAAATAAAATAGGCAGTGGGGAGGAAACAACAAAAAGCATTAAGCTGTTTTTGTTTTTGAAAAACACTTCCTGAGGCGTTATGGTTTGACGGTTTGAGTTTTTATTTTTTATTTTTTTATTCTTGCATGAACAGCCATGACACATTGGAATTCGTGCACAGCGCTCTCTCAGAGTCAGCAGTTGAACAACAGTGTGATTACGGCAGCAGCAAGTGGAAATGCTAATCTGTCTTAATGCCTTCAATTAAAGCCACTTTGACTGCATTGTGTGTTGATATTTATTCACGTAATTATTGCATTCATTAAATTCTCAAATTAGATGGGGGGGGGGTTAAAAAGAGCTCAAGCCTGCGTAGAATACAGAGCTCCTTTTCTGATAACTAATGGTGAACGTTTTTTATTGTTTGACGTATCACAATGAAAAAACTGTGGCATGACTGTCCTTGTACTCTTCCCACATTCTAAAGAGGAATATTTTCCACAAATTTCATTCAAAATACAAAGAGTCCTGCTGAGATCCTGCAGCTCACATGGTTGCAGGCAAATCACTGCTCACAGAGCTGCATGATGTCCAGCGTAAACACCATGCAGACTCTGTGTGTGTGCGTGTTCACGAGCAGTAAGTGTGTGTGTGTGCGTCATAAAAAATGGAGATGGCTGAAGTAGGCCAGCAGCAAAGGCGTCTCAATTCCCTCCCATGCTGCCTTCCCCCTCCTCATCCTCTCCTGTACTCTTGCCTCCTTTCCTCTCCTCTCTTCAGTCTGAGGACTGAGAGTGTCGTGCAGATTGTAAAGCTCTTCAAGGGGGAATTTGTGATATGGTTTTAACTATATCAAGAATGGCCAAATTGTTTGGCTTGTGGGCCATAAAAAGCAAAAAATGAAGAAAGAAATTATGGCATAAACAGCAACTTTTGATTTGAAAAGTAAGTACAAAATAAATAACACGGCACACCTCTTCAATGATTGATTCCATACTTCTAAATCCTAAAAGTGTTTGTGATGCAAAACATCTGTAAACAACATGACTGCAACAACTGCAGCCAGTTGTTAATTATTATTGTTAGAAAGTATTTTCGTACCAGTCTTTTCAAGAAATACATTTGAGATTTTTCTCAAAATGTATTTCACATTATATTAGGATTTAAAAAAGAAAAATGTGTTGTAGTAACTTTGTCCGAGCATTTATTTATTACCTATTTTTAACGTCGGTGAGCTGCAAACTTTGCTGGAAAAATGTAATGGCTGGATGTGAGGCGCGGTGATTATTTTGTTTTAAATGAACAAAAGGGATTATGTTCCTCCTAATCCTTCTAGAATAAGGCTACAATGTGTGTGTGTGTGTGTGTGTGTGTTCCTTGTTCTCACACACACATAATGTGACACACTGAGAGAAACGAGGTGTTTGTGTGGAGGTTATTGATGAGCGGTGCAGGACCTTCTGAATCCCCCCGCTGGTGTCAACTCCCTGCAAAGGACCCCCTCTATCTGAGAGTAAACCCTCTTACAGGCAGCTTTCCTGTCCTAAAGGCTGCTGACATCTTCTTTACACCTTCTTGATCTTCCCTCTTCGTCTTTCATGCGTCTTCCTCCAGAGGTCCAGCCTCACGTGTCCATTTCATGGTTACGTTTTCGCACATCGGGCGGTAAGATTCATCACCTGAGGCCGACGGTGAAGCAGCGCGACCCGCTCGTCGTCAAGACCTTTGGTTCCTCCGAGAACTCAAGAGGAACCCGCGGTGAGGGATTGGAATTGAAAAGCGGTGTTTTTCTGGGTGAAGAATTGCTTGCTGAATTAAAACTGGCCGTCTGTTTCCTGCTCGATCGAAACTGACGGACGTTGTGAAACGACATTGTTATTTAATGATGTGCTCAGAGCTGCGCTTCATATTTGGACAGGGACGCAGTCCCCCGTGGGACGCCCCGATGCAGCAGCAGTGTGTCTGTTTTTCTTTAGAATTGCGCGTTAGCAGTTCACGTGTACCAGGAGTAAAAACAGTGGCTTCCTCTCAATGTGTGTGTGTGTGTGTGTGTGTTTTCTCCAGTGGGCAGACAGACAATGAGGCTGGGACAAACAAAGATGGCTCATCATCACCGTCTCCTTGGGGAGACATCACAGGGGCGACTTTGTCTCTCATCCATGTTCTTAATTACACACACACACACATTCATACACAAAAATGAAAGCTCATTTGGATTTTCTTTTCATTCCCACGTGCACAACAACACACCTGCTTTTCCTTCTTGGACGCATTCATCCGTCACACAGCAAACACACACACACACACACCTGCATGTGAGCATCGCGGGGACAACGGTCAGCCTGAGCGTCACAAGACACAACAACCGACAAAGAGACAGTCCGACTACCGGAGAGTCGGGACGAGAGAAATGAGGACAGAGGAAGACGAGGAGGAGGAGAAGAAGAAGAATGAATGACGGCGGCTCCCCGACGACCGGCCGTCCTCAGGATGACCCGCCGTGTCCGGGGACGTGGATGTTTCTCATTGGGATTCACCGTCCACAGAAAGAAAAGAAGACAAAACAAACAAAAACAGAATGTTCATGCAAGCTATTGTGTGTGTATTTATATTCTTTGATTCACGGCTGTAGTGTTCTGCTGTCCCTCTGTGCTCTGTTTTTGGGGAGAATCCACCTTCTACATTCCTGTCCCCTTCCTGGCTCTCTCACAAACGTCCGTTTCTTGTCCCCGTCTCCCTCAAACACGACAGGGAGACGCCACCATTCATTTTCACCGCACCGAGTCGTGAAGTGAGATCCTATTGTCATCTGACAAAAACGCTGGAGATAAAGCGGCGGGAGAAGAGAGTAGAGATGGAGCTCCGTCCCACCTGAGTTGTCGGTCCTTGCAGACGGCCACCATGACCAGCAGGTTTCCCAGGATGCTCATCAGCATGACGAGAGACAGGAAGCCGATCAGAGCTATCCGCTTTGGCATGCTGTCGCTACGGAAACAGCAAAAAGAAGGGGGACAAAAGAAGGACACATCAGCTCAGATCTGCACAGACGAACCGCAGGCTGCAGCTTTTGGCCAAAGAAGAAGGCAATCTGGTCCAGCTGCACTTTTGATGAGATTTATTTGATTTGATTTTATCAGCCTACATTTCGTCGCATCAGCAAAAAAGAGAAATCCACGCTCGTTCAGGACGGAGGGAGTTATTGGCAGAAAAAACTAATCATGAGACGGAGGGCAGGATTTATTTGTAATAAGGTTTATGCTGCTCATGAAGCCAAACACTAGCAGCCTATGATGGAGAATCCATAAAATATGACATGTAAAATGCATTTCCAGAAGTCCATGGTCTTTTTTTTTAATGTTTTTATATCAGGAAAACACCATCAGGCCACAGGAGGAGAGTGCATTTCACATTCGTGCTCGATTAGGAACGGCTACGTTAAAAAACATTGCAAAAGTAATAAAAATGATTTTTTTCATCATTTTATGTATACAGCATATATTTAAACTCACCACTATCATCAAAATGTCAAAGAGTTGATATCTTTCTGTGTCGTCTCTTGTCACCACTATAAAAAGATGATTTCCTCTCCCATTATTCAGCCTCCAAAAGTCACCTTGTTTTATTTAAATATCAAAGGTGGAGCATTTCCACTCATATAGGAGGATAACATAAGATACTGCAGCTCCACCCAAGCATCCACCTGTACACGGGGGACGTAGTATTATCATGAGGTCCCAGCCTTAGCTCATAAGCTCTACTGCACACACTGTGTCGGCCATTAATAGGCAATATCTACTTTTACATCAGCAAACAACCCTGAAATGAGTAAAGTAAGGAAGGCCTGATGGAAGCTAATTCACCACCAGGAGCCGTAATATATTTTACGCCATAAACTGCACGCGTTGCATTTCCGCTCCAGCAGGTCTACTACAACCTCGGCGCGGCTTCAACAACACGTCTCGGCAGCCGGCGTGAGTTGTGGCTCGAAGCCCTCGGTGCGAGTCGCGTGCCTCTGGTGGCTTCATCTGCTTTGACATTGGTAATACGTCACGATAACAATCCCCCCGAGGCTCGTGGTCCCTCAAGCGCCAGACTCACGTCACTCCAGATGTGCGACATATCAGTGGCTTTATTTTTTTTTTGCTTTGTATGCTAATGGGCCGCCTCAGTGAGCACGGAGCTGTACTTCTGACCCCATCTGCCAAATGATCCATCTCCCACCATCTGAGGCTCCGACGTGAAGTGATAGTGTGCAAATGAGGCCGGCTCTTTGATCCGTGGTGGCAGCACACTGATCAGATCAAATCGGGCCGCTGACAGCTTCTGAGCAGAAGCGTCATTATCCGCCCCCCCAACGCAACTTCACAAAGGCCTCTGCAGCAGCACACTAATCCTCTTTCATCTTGAATTTGTCCGGCCTCGATACATTGGTGCCAGTGAGATCGCGGCAGCGACCACCTTTAACAAGGCGGCTCTCAACTTCCCCGCAACGGATCCGACAACGCTTGAGCCGCCCGTCATTAGTGGTCCTAAAGCGGCTTCCGCTCGACCAATAGTCAGGGATTCCAGTAACGTTTACCTGACGGTTCACAGACTCGTCCACACAGTCTAATATTTTCACTCCACTCGAGTGACCACCGTGTTTCCATGCGCACGGGACCAAATCAATTGGTTTCCATGGTTACATGAATCGTAAAAAGGTCGGCCGTGAACTCGACTGTATTCGTGTGGATCACACATGGTCTTAAATTGCTCTGCGATGACAAGTCAACGTTCTCCAGGAAACTCCCTGAACTAAAAAAAGAGATCTAAAAAAGTGTGAAAGGTGTTTATCAAATCCTATTTTATGATCCTGCGTTATTTGAATTATTTATCCGGGCCGTGCTTTTCATTCAGCGTCACCTAAATGTGTTATTCCTCCAACGATGCGTCGCATTCCTCTCCGGCTTCTGTGTGCCGGGTTTGTGCTTCGCTAAGCAAAGACCCGACGCACTGACAGGTGAGATGTTGAACAATGCGCTGGGACCTGATTTCCCAGATGTGCGCGGCGCTCTCTCTCTCCGCATACTTTCATTTGCTCTTAAGCCGGTGTGACTGTGGAGGAGATTTGCAGGAACTCGGGAGCCGGAGGTCTACCGAGGGAGGACTGAGCTGAAACAGAGAAGTGGTAACTCTTGATACCCGTGAACTTTGACCTGCGGCTAAGCTGAACCTTTGCAGCGCAATCAGGAAGCCGGCAGCGCCAATTAAGGCCAGATGAGGATTGATGGGGGAAACGCCGTCTCCAGAGCTTTAAGCTTTAAAAATCACCAATTTGTCATTGGATTCTCATCAATTATCCTGTGCACACACACACATCATCGGCTTTATTCCCACATGTTTTTTTAGGGGCTGAGTGATGTTGATACCTCTGCTTAAGGTGAGGTAAAAAAAAAAAAAGGGAGAGGGAAAATGTAATGTTAGCTGCCACAGGAAGGGGAAAGAGACGCCCTCCTCTGCCTCAGAATATCTTCGGCATCGCAGCTCTTCTTAAGCCCTCAGAGCGGCTCCGTGTCAAGTGCTGATTGGATCCAAACGCCACGTTTGACTTCCCGGTGGTCCGCACAGATGGCCTGGAAGAGTCTGACTGAGCACCCCAGTGGCTCCGTACCGACGCATTGCGTCAACCGGACGTGTTCACTGCATTTCATTTTAATTTAAGTTTAATTTTCTCCTCAAGTGAGAACAGAAGTGTGTTCGTTTCACCGTGGCTCACTCTCCCGACTGCAGATGACGTCTTTAAAATGTGCAGCCAGTCTTATCTTATTATATCATCTTGCCATTCGCTCTTTTTAACTCAAAGTTTGTATCTTTCTGCTGCACTTTTCCACCTGGTTTCACGCCCAACTCTTCAGACTCTGACACCGATGCACCGGTGATTTCACTAATTTACGCTAGTTATTTTTCACGTAACAAATATACTGATTCCAGAAACAAACCACAATCTTCTCCCGAGTCGTTTTGATGTGTAAGCAAGTCTTCAAACAAAGTAAGTTGGAAGATACTATGAATGTAACAACACGACATGCCTGACTCATCAAAAATGTACGCCGAGCATCAGTATTTGATGATTCGGGAGTGAAAATGTGTCCTTAATTTATGCTTCCCTAATTAAAATTACAAGCAGAAAACTGCTGGAGCGACGCTCTATTTAAGCAGACGGTATAGTTAATTAAATAATATAAAAAAAATCCAAGCTTCAAGATAAAGAAACATCACGCAGAGTTGAGTGCACAGAGGCCTCTGATGCGCCTTTGAACCTTCTTAAATGAAGGACGGGATGACCACTGCTGAACAGGACGCTAACTGCTTCTTAGCCGCATCAGTTTGACCAAACCACATTTCCCATAACAGAGTGATGATGACGATGTTGATGAAGTGTTCTTCATCCCAAAATGACCAGATCTCACCGTTCTCCCACATTCCAATCTGTTTTCTATTTACACATCAGATACTTATCAGCAGGAGTGGCCTCGTCTCGCCCCCAAAAAAAACCAAGACCTTTTGGCTGGAGCTGATGGCCTGAGTGGGAATCCCTAATTGCAAACAAAAGCAGTTGGGACCCGGCGTTCCCTCCCAGCAGGCAGGGACAAGCCGGCTATTATGCAGACGTCTACTCTGGTACCCGACGCCGCTTCTCAGCATCACGAACAAGGGAAATGTGTCAAAATGGACGGCTGGGTCACGACAGATTCCCCCGCTGAGTGGGATCGCTGGGTTCTCACACAACCTTTCAATTAAATAACTCAGTGATTAAAAGTCTGAGGATAAAATAAAAATAAAAGAATACTTTGGAGACTGAATGACTTTTTTTTCTTTCACATCTGGATCCATCTCAAACCGCAAATGTATGGACATAAAAATAAACAGTCCCTAGAATGGAAACCAACCCATGTACGCGATCTTTTTAAATAAAATCCCCACCAGCATCAGGATCAATAAATCAAACATCATTTATCGTTTTTTCCGCCTCAAACTTGAAACTACACACCTTACAGCAGATGTATTGAATTGCCAATCAAGTGTTGACGTGGTGTTTGGGTCTCGGAGAAGGCGCCCGCCTACAAACTGTCGGTCCGGCCTTTGCTCTTCTACCCGCCGTCAGTTTTAAAAGTCCCAGAAGATCAATTTCTCTCTGAGCGACTGCTCCTCTCCTCCGAGCCGAGGGGTCAAACTGAGGTTTCGACCCGGTGGGTCTCTGTTGTCTTCGCCTCGCCTCGGAGAAGAAGGTTTTCCCAACGGCATCGGAATAAAAAAAAAAAAGGAACGAAACACCGTCTGCTTCAAAAGTGTCGGCGGTTAAAAAGCTTCTGGGAGCATGAAGGTGTTGCTGGCGGTTCCAAATGACAAATGAAATTCAAACCCGTGTTGTTGCTCTCAGAGCTCGTAGTGGGACGAACACAGCGAGCGAGGGGAGTGACCGGCCCCGGTGTCTTTTTGCCTGCCTGCTGAGCGCTAATGAGGAAAGTCAAACTAAAGAAACACCGGCAGGCGCACAACAACACGGCTTGTCAACATAACCCCCGGTTTTGAACTCTGACCTTGTGTTCTTGCTGTGGTTCTAGTTTCCTGTGTAATGAGAGAATGTGACAAGCCATTATTCCTTCAAAATACAAGTCCAATGTCCAGTCCCAACCTTCAGCGCTAACGAGTGCTACCGCTAGGTCATCTAATTGTCACGCAGGAGTTCATGTGTCAAAAGCCTGCAGTTATTTATAACTCGATTTATAATGCAGAGTTTGTGGAAAATGAAATAACTCACTTTTGTTTTACCAAAGATTCTAAAATAGTTGCGTTTGCAACCGATTTGATATAATTACTTTATCAGGTTTCATATTTCTAATGTCTCAGCTACAGTATTTACAGAAAACTAACAACCGACAATCAATGACAGTCAGGAAGCACAACGTTGCCACGAAATGACAAACAAGGACCTGATATTTAAC